GCAGGAAGGCGCAGGTCAGGAAGGCGAGGGCTCGGAGCACGATGACCTGGAGCGGGGCCTTCACCACGGATGAGCAGAAGCTCTGAGGGAGGGAGGCAGAGACCGGTCGGCAAGAGGGGCAGAGCCAACGACACCCATCCTGGTGCCCACTCTGTGCACAGAGGTCTGGCCGGGGCCCACCTGCTGAAGAACCCACCAGGTCCTGATGATCAGAGATGCCCTAAATTCTCACACCCTCTTGGCTTTGTTTCTGGTTCACCACTGGGTCCCATTACTCTGTCTCATTTCTGGGCCGTCACCCCACTGCGAGCTCCTGTGTGGGGAAGAACTGTGCTGCCACATTCTCTACAGAAATCCTTTTGAAGTGATGGTGACCTCTTCTTTCAAGTATGTTTTTTTCAATCGTTTTCAAATTCTCATAAAAAATTCCTACTGCGGCTCTAACTGGAATTGTAATAAGTATACAGATAACTCTGGCCAAAATTAAGTTTAAAAAAACAGCAGTAAGTTGTTCAGTCTGGGCACACGGTGGAGAGAAGGAAAGCAAGGGTCAGAGCATCCCACTGTGCAAGTGGGCGTGTGGCTGGTGCGTGGCTGTGTGGTCGGGGGCCTGGCTGCAGACTGGAAACCACACACCAACCAGTCAGCGAGATGGCCACAACCAGCACGGCACCTCTGGGGACACAGAGGGTGGGTGGGAGTTTCTTTGGGGAGGATGGTTTTTACTTCTAAACCCACTCGCTACTTATATCACATTTTTTTAAGCCAGGACATGCCAGCATCTGAGTACAGTGATAAAAATTAACAATGGTTTTGGCCAGCCAGTCCTGGGCTCGAATCCTGGTGACACCACACACCAGGTACGTGGCCCTCTGCAAGTGACTTAACTTCCCCAAGTCTGGTTTCCATGGCGCCTTGGAGAGCACCCACCACGAAGGCGCTGGGAGGAACCCACACAGGCGTTGGGAGGTGCCCAGGCTCAGCAGGGCAGCTCAGAAACCCCTGTCACACACGCAAATAACAAACATTCTCCTTAGGACCCCTGCTCCGCTCCGTGTCTGGGGACAGGTTGGGATATGGCCCTACGGGACAGTTGTTGCCCCAGGGAAAAGGGCCTCAGCTCTGCAGAGCTGCCCCCCCAGTCACTGGCCCAGCCCTCTGGGAAGGGGTTTCCTGCACAGACCCAAGGCCTGGGATGCCTGGAGTGCCCCATGGATGCCCCTCGGACCTGCGTGTGGGTCTGGTCGGCCTCCCGGCGCTTGAACTGGTGGCTGAGCAGCAGGGCACGCAGCTGGCGGTTCTGGTGCTTGATGTAGTGCTCGACGGCCGCCTGGCACGGCCGGCACAGCTTGTACATCTGCTCCAGGTGGTGCCGGTACACCTCGATCTCCTCGTCATATCTGCCCTGCGGAGGGGGACCGAGGCTCAGGGTCTCCAGGGGGCGACCGTGTGCAAGTCGTCCCCAATCTGCACCTGCTTCCCCCGCTGCCCAACAGGACAAATGGCTGGGAATAAGGGCTGCCCAGAGGCTGGGACACAGCAGGGCCCTCAGGTGACAGCAGACACTCCAGCCAATTCTGTCGCTCCGAAGGGCGCACCTTGAGGCCAGAGTCTGGGATGTGGCCCCTGCTTCAGGCCCTGCTCCCGGACTCCAGAGCTCCAGGAAGGCAGGTGACCCATGGGGGAAGGTAGCTCTGGGCTGACACCAACTGGACGCGGGCAGATGGACAACCCAGAGGTGGGGCTGCCTCCCCGCTTAAGCCCAGTGGTCTAGAAGACGCATGGTCCTAGCAGAAACCAAAGGGCCTTTACGTTTCAGGAACAGCCCAGGAGACTCGAGTCCCGTCCCACCCCTCCTCCCCCAAGAGATGCAGCAACACACCCCTCCCTCCCTGCTTCCAGGGGAGGGCGGGAGGGTTATCAGTTTGATCTCTTGCTGGGACTGAATGTGCCAGAAGAGGTGCCCTGGCTGCCTCATCGCACATGCCTGCCCTTCTCTCTGCAGCCTCCCTGCCTCTCCCCTCCCAGCCGCAGCTCACCTCCATTTCCCTCCCTCCCCCACTCCCAGGCTGGGCCTTGGGAAAGTCAGTGTCTCTGGGCTTCAGCTGGGATTTTCTCCTGAGGTCACAGAACCCCCAGACTGGGCTAGGTGACATAAGCTAGATGACAAGGCTGCTGGGCTCCATGGTGGACCCGGGGGAGGCAAAGCCCTAACACCAAGCCTCTCGGCAGCACCTGTCTCCCCTCCTCTCCCACAAGCCGGGACATCGTCCACCAACTCCAGAGCAAACTGCCCGCCAGCTAGTGGCTAAGACTGACTCAGAGGGACACGGACAGGATGGTCCAACAGGGCCCCAAGCTGGAGCCCAAGGACCCTACCTCCCCCTACCCAGGGACAAAGCCCTCTGGGCTGGCAGGAGCTGGGCTTTCCACGATGCTCCCAGGCTTGGGGCCCCCAGAGCAGTGACACGAGACAGGAAGAGCGAGAAGTGAGTGGCAGCTGAGATGGACTAGATCACACACGTGGAACACAGGGCCAGCATGGGGCTGGGGTGAGGAGGGGCCTCCCCTCCACTGCTCGAACCCCCAGCCCCTCCCACACTCCGCTCACCTCATCGCGCGGCGAGAAGGCGGCCAGCTGCTTGATCTTGGTGGTCTGGTGGTGACTGCACCGCCGGCACAGCAGCACCTGGCTGCTCACCCACTGCGGGGGCTGCATGGGGGCTCGGGGACCGGGCGCACTGCTCACCACATGATTCAGGTGCTCCAGGTACTGGGCGGGGATCGGCTTGTTGTAGTCGCCATTCTGGGGGGGAGGAGGACTTGAGTCAGGGGGAGCCCCTCCCTACGGACAAGAGCCTCCCCACGGGTTCAGGCCAGGCGCTGGACACAGGGCCCGCATGCCCACACTCCACGGAAGTGGATCGCTAACACTCTCTTGCTTTACATGCAACGCAGAAGCTCTTCCAAAAAAACTTCACGGGAACCCACAACACAGGCTATACGGTGAGGGTGCAGCCTGGACCCCGCCCCCTGCCCACACTCCCACCTGGTGTCCCTCCTCAGGACTCAACAGGGGCTGGCACAGGGGTCGGCAAACTCTGGCGATGGGCTGGCTGCCCACGTCTGTGAATAAAGCTTTCCTTGGCTTTATTCACAGCCACACGCGCTACACATGTCTGTGGAGGCTCTGCAGTGCCGAGCAGTCGCAAGAGACGGTGTGGCCTGCAAAGCCTGAACTCCTCATTGCCCGGCCCGCAGAGAGCCTGCTGACCCCGGCCTGGTGCAAGGCAGAGACTGGGCTTCAGAGCCAGAAAGATCTGGGTCTGAACCCAAACCTGCCAGCTTCAGAGCTGGGACTTTGCACAAGTCACCCTAGCTGCCCGAGCCTGTCTGCTCCTCCTCAAAGGAGGGGCCCAGGGTCCGCAGATCCTGGATGGGAGGGCCGCACCTCCTGGAAGCCGTTGTACTGTTCGCAGTGGGGGCAGTCCCAGCAGTTGCGGTTCCCATAGGGCACCACCGTGTCCTGGTTGCAGAACCAGCAGTTGACGACAGTGTGTGTCGGCTTCATCCTGTGGACGAGGAGAGTGGAATCAGTGGGAACACCTCCGTACCCATGTGACAGGAGACCAGGGAGAGCATGTGGGAAGCGGGATGGGGACCCCAAGCTGGAGATGCAGGCAGGCGGAGGAGGGCAGGACGCTGTGTGTCCAACGGCAGGACCTGGACTTCTCCTTGGCCTCTGAGGCCAAGCCTCCCCCGAGCTGGAGACGCACCAAGAACCCAGGGCCAGCCAGGCCACGGGGCTGACAGGGACCAGGCTCTAGGACCACCCTCCCTCCCCGCAAGGCCCGCAGACCTGGGCCTGGTCCCAGGATGCGAAAATGGTGTTCCCTGGGGAGTTTGCAGATGGAAGGCACCTCCTGGGCTTCACAGAAGTCCCCAGGAGAGCGAGGGCCAAGGAGGCCAAGGGGTAGGGACTGCAGAAGGCTGCTCAGTCTGGGGCCACCCCTCCCCAGCAGGGGGACAGGACAGGCTGGCCACAGTGGCCCTTGACGGCCACACGTGTGCTGACAGGTGGGGTGTGCAGGATAATCCCGGCCCAGACACCAACGGATCTGTGCTCTAGGGCCGTCCATCCATCTCCCTGGCTGTTGGGGGTGTGTGTGTCGAGGGGGCTGGGGAATGGATATGGCAACTACCAAGCAAACCCCTCCAGTCCCAAGAATCTAAAACAATGTGGGCAACAGGTGGCAGCTGCTTGAGCCCTGGGGTCCTGGCCTTGCCACTCCTGTCTCCCTACTCACCCCCAGAGTCAACCTCCAGCTCTGGGGGTGCCACCTGGGCCTTTGCTGGGATGGGCAGCCATACCACACACGGACACCCCTACTGTCCCCAACCTCCTGCGAGCCAGAGCCCCCGGCTCTGCCACCTTCTCCTCTCCCAGCCTTGGCCCGCATCTGCAAAGTGGGAGCGATCACAGAACCAGGGCATCTGCGTGTTACAAGGACCCAATGACACAAGACACGTAAAGGTGCTTCGCAACGCAGGGCGCTGGCTGTGTCACTACCCTGTCCCCGGGACTGTCAGGGGCCTGGAAGAAAGGCTGACTGCCCGGGAAGCAGAGCTGCTGCTCTGACACTGCGGATGCTTCCTGGCCTTGCCCTTCCACTGACCATGGGCAGGTTACTAGAGTTCTCCATGCCTCAGTCTTCTCACCTGTCGACTGGGGACAAGACTTGTCAAGTGTGGGAAGCGCTTACAGTGCCCAGCTAAATACCCAATAAATGACAGCTTACATGGGGAGGGCAGGGGAGGGGACGAGAAAGCCCGGACAGAGACAAGGACATGAAACCAGACCCTGCAGGGAAGGGTCCCAGGGTCCACAGAGGGCACCTGCAGCTCCAGTTCAGGCCAAGGCCCTCAGAATGGACGACAAGGGACCACACGTCTTCAGCATCACTGAACCAGAGGGCAAGGCCCAGAAACCGCAGCACTGGGCAGCGTGGCTCGTGGTCGTGGTGTGGCCTTTGGGGAAAGTCATTTCTTTATCTGGCCAAGGGGGATAATGATAATCCCTGCCCCCAAAAGGCTGCCGAGGGGATCGGACAGAAGGCACCTCCTGGGCTTCACATAAGTCCCCAGGAGAGCAGCTGCCACCTGTCGCCCACACTGTTTTAGATTCTTGGGACTGGAGGGGTTTGCTTGGTAGTTGCCATGTCCATTCCCCAAATGAGAGAATTTAGGAAAGCGCTGAGCTGGGCAGGTGATCAGCGGAGGCATTTTGACAGCTTCACTGGGCTTCAGGCAAAGAGCAGTGGAAGGAGGCGGCTAGTGGTACGAGAAGCCGGCACTTGGCATTCCTGGGCAGTTAAGCACTTGGCTTTCTCTTTGTTAATCTGTACCTGCTTTACAGGCTTCTCTGTTAGAGTGCACCGCGGTGTGTCCAAAGGGGTGATGAGGCAGGCCGGAAAACCTCTCCCCTCTGCCCCCAGGTCCTGCTGTCCTCATGATGGGTCCCTCTGCCCCCTTCACCCTAGAAGCTCACCGCACCACACCCTGCCTCTGGAAAGAAGCCAGCAGAAGAGCTGGCAGCCCAGCTGCCAGCCCAGAGAGATGGGAAGGGAATAAAGACGACTGGTGGCAGGCGAGCAGGAACTGAGGCTTTGGTCCAGGGGGCCAGGCACGAAGCCCCTCCCGCCCAGGAAGTCATCATTTCTACCCTGAACCTCCAGCTCTGTTGCTAGGGAAGTGAGCCTGGCCTGGAAGAGGGTGGCAGGAAGGGGAGGCTGGGGATAAGTCCTGGTCCCTGGGCCAGCGGCTCTGGCTTGGTAATCCCTGCCCAGGGTTGGCAGGGTGAGGGTCCTCTCTCTCGCGGACAGGGCAGCTGCCTGCCACCTTGGCCAGATGGGGTCCCCGTGCCAGGAAGTCACCTCCCACGGCTCCTATGGGGTGAGCCCTGAAAGCACGTGCAGGCCTGTGAGTGGCAGATGGACCAGCAAAGCTACGGGGAGCTGGGTGTGAATGTCAGCTCCCCAAGCACCAGCGCCGCTGCCGCCTGCCCGAAGCATCACGTGCCAGACACGTGGATGAAGTGACTCACATTCGCAGGCTGCACTTGACGGCTGACCTCACAGCTCGTACGTACTGTCCCCACAGCCACGGCATGGGCCTGGCCTCTGGGCCTGCATCCACCTCTACCAGGCCTGACACGGGAGCCCTTGGGTCAGCCTATTCTGTGCCCGCTTAGCCGGGGTCCTGCGGCTGCTCAAGGAAAAGCCCCTCCAGTCTGCTCCCCTCCTATCCCTCACCCGCTTCTCCCGCACGCCAACAACCTCCATCCCCAGTGAGGCTCTGGGTCAAACCACTCTTCGTGGTGGACAAGATCTGAGGGGACAAGACAGAATGTCCCTGTGACACAGGCAGGGGCAAGTTAGATGGGGCCAGGCCAGGCCAGGCCACCTCAGGTGGAAGGTTGGGCCCCAGAGGGTGAGCGGCCGGGAGGGTCTGGAAGGTGCTCACCCAGCTCCTGCTACCTGTGTGCTGAGCTCTCTCAGGCTCTGCGGGGGTTGGAGGAGGCCTGAGGCAGCCAAGGGCAGGATGGGCCCCTGGGGGGGAGCCAGGGGCAGCTGCATGCTCTGGAACTGTCCCTCCACAAGCCCCAAACCCACAATGGGGAAGAAAAGATGAACACAGGCCCCCAACAATGGTATCACCCCCCCAGCCCCAAACACGGACAGTTAGTTACAACAGAGCTCATGCTCTGGCATCCTGCCCTACAGGTCTGGTGGGAGCGGGGGGCGTCAGTTCTAGCCCACCACTGGCCCACCTCTCTGAGGGCTGCAGCCCCAGGCCCTCGGTCCAGGACCCTGCCAGGGGGTGGGCACCTGTTGTGGGCCCAGCACTGTGCCACATGGAAGAGACACTGCATGGGGCTCAGTCCCTGTTGGGGGGCCGGGGGTGCTCAGAATCTGGGGGAGGCCCATGCATCCACCATTCTCCGCCAGGCCCTGAGAAGTTCCCCGAGAGGGTCTGGCACACAGCCTGTGACCCTGGGCACCACGTGCTGGCCTGGCGGGGTCTGGAAGATGGTCTCGGAGAGTCAGGCTGGTTCCCTTCGGGGCCGAGAGGTCAGCCTCCAGAAGGGCCCCGAGGGGATCCCAGGACAGGCTCATAGGCGAGGGGTCCTTGTCGGACCCCACACGGCTCCTCACTTGCTCCTCTGTGCCCTGAGTGTTGTCCGATCCACCAGAGAGAATCCAAGGAGCAGACTCCCGGGCAGCGGGACAACGGCACCAATGTACAACTCAGTGCCACCAGGACCCAGCGGGCCTCCAGCCGCCCGTGCGCCAGCCTCAAGGCGAATCACACTTAGGCCCACAGCAGTCCAGCCAATACCAAGACAGAAAGCCCGGATCCGCCCTCGGTGGACCACGCCGGTCCCTCAGCACAGCCCGCGCTGGCTGGGCATACGCTGGATCGCAGGGAGGCAGAGACGAGCGAGGCTCTCCACTCCTGACCCGGACACAAGGACGAGAACGACGACCTCACAGAGCAGCTGGTGACAGGTGCCACAGGAGAGAGCCAACAAGTGGCGCATTTGCCGTCACCCTCAAGAACGGGTTTGCCAGCCAGCAAGGCAAATGAGCAGGTGGCCCTCAAACAGATGGACTGCGGGCAAGGGGGGCACCACCCGGCATGCGTGCAGAGAGCAGGGTCCCCCCAGTCAGAGTGCGCAGCACCAGGAGAGCCTGGCAAGAGGTGAGTGGAAACCAGGGACCCTGGACGCCAGGCCGAGGCTCTGCTCCTTTACCCGGGAGGCTGCATCTTCTCTGTCTCCAAACACCAGAAAGTGGACAATCCAATACCATCTATGGGGGCCTCCAGAGGTCTCGAGTAGGGATGTTCTGGCAGGAGATGGACACAATGGCAAGCGGCAGAGCCCGGGGGTGGGAGTTTGGGTGGGGGAGGCACAGGAAGCCACCAAGACTGCCTGGGTACAGGGCGTGCCAGCCTGGGGAAGTGTAATTGGGGCTTCGACCTGGCCTCCTACGGGTGCAGAGCGACAGCCAAGTTGCTCAGTGAGGACCCAGAGCACGAGGCTTGGTTAGGAGCTGAAAGGCCAGAGTGAGGCAGGGCTCTGCCGTTTAGCAACTTGGTGTCATAGGGCAGGAAGCCCAATCTCCCTGGGCCTCTGTTTCCTCATCTGTAGAATGGGGCCAACAGCAGCTCCTGCCCCTCCGCCGGTCATAACACATGGTCCAGTCAAGAGAACTCCGCGGGTGGGAAGCCAGGGTTGGCCCTGCCGGAGGCTCTGGGGACCGCAGCCCTTCAGAGAAGCGGGCTCTTCCCTCTGCTCCCCAGCCGATCCTCCGTCCAGGTCCCTCCATCGATGTGCTGAGCCCCCAAACACCCAACCGGCCAAGTCCATTTCCAGAAACAATTCTCCTCACATGCCCTCCCCAGTGTCATTCTAAACCCACACTGTGGCCAAAGCCATTCCTCACTGTCACTGTTTCCCCCACAGAGGGAGAAGGGCTCAGCCTGGTCTTGCTTCTGAATCGTGACAGTGGCTAATTTATGACCCCCAGACAAAAGCCAGCGCTCTGGTAGAATCTCAGAGCCTCTTGGGAAAGGGCTGGTCCTTCTCAACCAAAAGGTCCCAATGCCACACCACGACTCTGGTGTCACGCCACACTGGTACCCTCCTGGCTCCCCTCGAAGCAGCTCGCCCAACACTGTACCAAGGCCTCAGACTCCTGTCTCCGGGAGAGGGAAAGCTGTGGCTGGAAGCCCAGGTGGGGAGACGGGACCCCCAGGAACAGCCGCAGCACAAGACGGGAGCTTGAGGCACAGTGAGCAAACCCAGTGCGAATCTAGCCACACCAACACAAGCGAGAGCTGCAAAGCCTGGAGACAAGACCTGGCCCAGGCTCTGATCCTTGGGCTGACATTCCCTGCCCCCGGTTAACTGGGAGGCAAACCGGGCTCTGGACACACCTCTGCTGTCGACACGCTCTGGGAATCTGAGCAACAGCAAGCAGCATGCACCTCTGCACCTCAGTTCCCTCGTGCGTAAGATGACTGGTTTGAACCAGTTGGTCCGGCAAGCCCCTCCAGCTTCCAAATTTTGGGCAGAAGCTGGGACACGTAGAGCTGTGCGTTGTCAGGGACCCCTTGAGGCCACCCCCTCCTCAGCCTGCCAGCCTGGCTCATCCTGCAGACACAGCTTATGTCCCTCCTACCCCTTCCTCCCCCGGGAAGCCTGTGACTCAGTCGCCCTCACTTCTTTCCCCTTTGGGTGAGAAACAGTACACGGCGGTGGCTAAGGAAGAAGGGACACGCCTTCCAGGTTCGAGTCCCAGCTCCCCCGCTTGCTGCCGAGTGACCGTGGGCAAGTTCCTTCGCTTCTCCCACCTAAGAGCTGCGCTTCCACATCCCCTGCTGAAGCTACAAGCCCACCCATTCTGTCTCCAGAATGTTCTCACAGCCCCACCTTTCTCCCCTATCCCCTGGGAAGGTGGATCAAGTGGTTTGACAGTGGGGCTGCCCCTGAGGTCCTCCTGAAGCAAGAGGCCATTAAGCTTTTATCCCTGATCATGGAGGCCAGCTGTGCACAGGGGGGTCAGCATGATCTCGGAGCCAGGGTCGGGGGTGGGGAGCCGCCACTGAACCCCCTGGGCAGCCAGCCCAGCCCGGTTTAAACATCTCCGAAGTATGTCAGGCTTGCCTGCTCTTGGAGGCTGTGGAGTCCGGGGGTCAGGGATGCAGGCTCCAGGGTCAGGATGCTTCAGCTCACACCCTGACTCGTCTAATTAATAACAATTTATGTAGCTCTTTTGTCCCTCAGCTTCTCTAGACAGAGCAGGGGTTGTGACTCTGAAATGGGCTTATGTGAGATTAGAACAACGCCCGAGACAGCGTATGCGGCTCAGAAACCACCGGCCGGTGTTCACGCGACCCAACGTGCCCCTGAGGACCAGGGATGGGGGCTCAAGACGGAAAGGAGCAAGGCCCGAGCCCCGCTCGACGCTCCCGCAGGGTTTGGGGGCCCTGCAGACCCTGCGGATGGGCCAGCGCAGATCTCCGCGGGGGAGGAAGTTCGTACGTCAAGCGCTGGCTGTCTCCGCCCGCCCCACATTCCTGGGGTCCCCCAACCCACTCCTCAGCCGCTTCCCGACTGGGGATCCCCAGCCCGGTTTTCCTTCCGGGGGCGGGGCGTGCACGGTGGGTCTCGGCGCGGGGACACACTGGACGGGCCCCACCGCCGCGCCGCGGCCTCGCCGCGCGCACGGACAGCGAGGTGCGGGCGGCCCCGGAGCCGGCGGGCTTGGGAGGACAGCGGGCGGAGGGCTGGTGCGGGTGCGGGGGCGCGGGCGTGATACTAGCCGGCCGCGTGGGCCGCGCACACTCACCTCCGTGCGATCCGGTAGAGCAGCACGCCGGCGGCGGCGCACGCCGTGACCCCCAGGCCGCCGGCGAGGCCGGCCGTTGGATAGCGGGCCAGCAGCGCGCTCATTCCCTCCATGGCTCCTGGCGCGGGCGATGGGCGGTGGGCGGCGGCAGGCGGCAGGCAGTAGGCGGCGGCGGTGGCGCTGGCGGCGGGGCCGAGGGCCGCAGGCGGGACGCGGAGCGGCGGCGCGCGCCTCC